ATTTAACATTAGAATTTATTTCAATTTTTAATGTTATTAAAATGAATGCACTAATTACTCATGTACAATTCCGATTATTAAACAACGATGTGAGACTAACTCTTAAAGAATTTGGAAAGTTGTTTGATTTGAAATCGGATAAACCGATTGAACCCTCTCAAGACCACACCACCGTGGTCTATAAGAGGCTAACTAGGGAGGATCTAGTTAACCTCCAGCATGCCAAAGGGACTTGGATTCAACATCCCGTCCCAAAACTTTGGCAAAGATTTGCCGGCCTCACTATTTTTGGGAGGCATGAACCGGCAAATGTTAGGAGAGATGAATTGGAACTTTTGGCATCCTATATAATTCCTACCGCCAAAAAATTGAACATACCCTATAGGATAGCCAATCACTTCCAAAGGGCGGCCAATGCGGCCGAGGCTAGTAGGTCTAGGGCGCCTATTCATTTTGGGGGGTTAGTGACCCACATTGCTAGAAAACACCTAGGTTGGAACCCGGATGGGCATAGGAAAGTTGTAGGATCAAACTTCATGGACCTAGCCTATTTAGGGAGTTTGAACTGGGTGAAACCCGTGGGAAGTGATATTTGGTGGATAGTCCACCGACAATCGGGTAGGAGGGATCAAGCCTTTACCTTACCCAACCCCGCCTTGACCAAATTTGAGAAGGGGAAGCCTTCTTATACTTTCGAGATTAATGGTCAAGGTGAGGTTCAACCACCTTACCCTTCACCACAACCCTACCAATCCCCCCTAGACCATTCCCACTCTCACCATTCACCACACTACCCACCACCTCCACCCTTCACCTATGGCATACCCACTTCCTCGGTCGACTATAACGTCGACCCCAATGCCCCTTATGACTTTTCGGCTTTTAGGAGCCAATTAGACCGTATCGAGCGGGGCAAGGGAGAGTTGAGGGTATGATGCAAAACCTAGATTCTAGGTTAAGCACCTTAGATGGGCGGGTTGGTTACATAGAGAGGAACCTCGGGAGGGGTCTATACCCCATGTATGACAATTATGCTGTCGGGGGGCTATTCCTCCCGGTTCACTTACTCCTGATTGGTTCCAATACCCCCAAGGAGGGTATTCTCACCGCGGTGCGTATGGTACTTATGTAGACTACGCTTCAGTCCACGGATATGGGGGTGATGCTCCTTTTGGGGGTATGGGGGGGGGGGAATGTGGACCCTAACTACCCTGCAGGTGGTTCGGGTTATGGTGGTGCTGGACCGAGCCAGGGTGGTGCCGGCTCGAGTCATGGAGGAGGATATGAGAGGATGGATGATGATGAGGAGTAGCTCTTCCTAGCTACCCTCCCAAGTCAATGAGGGCATTGCTTGATTTGGCTTGGGGGGAGATTTCTTGTATATATGGTAATCCTCTTTCTCTTTTCTCTATTTATTGCTTTCTAGTATAGTTTTTATTGCTTTCCTAGTGTAGTGTTTATTGCTTTTTTATATATGAAAAATACAAAAAAAATTGAAAAATAAAAAAAATTCAAAAATACGTTCCAATGAATTATGAATCATACTTCCCTGTGCCCCATACTTGAGAAAAATTTGTTTTGATTCTTGGTTATTGATAATGAGCATTGTGGATTTGTTGGTCATGATTTGAAGTTTAATTTCTTGGATTCCTAAACATGAGTCAATCTTGCCCAACTACTTGTGAATATAGTGCTTGACTAGTTGATTTGGTTAGGAAATGTGTGATAGTTCCATAATTCCTGGTATGTCAATGAATTTGAGTATTGATTTGCAACTATGAGTAGTGTTTCATGGCTTATTATTATGCACATGAGGAGGACGAAGGCGTTCATTCTTTTAGGTGGCCTTCAGAGTATTAGATACATTTGTTCCCTTCTTGTTACCCATGTTGTTGCTTGTGCCCTTTTTATTGTTTATATAGCCACATTACAAGCCTATATGAGCCCCATTGGTTACTAGTCCCAAGCTTGGCTTGGGGGAGCTATTAGTTGGTGAGGCGAGGGAGTTGTGGTGTGCATATTATTTGCACAATGTGGGAATAAAAGAAGAGTTATTGTTCTTTGATTTTTGATTGGAAAATATTGATATTGTGTTTTAAAGTTGAATTTTCCAATATGAGATAAAAAGAATAAAAAGAGCAAAAGAAAAAGTTTATTAATGCTTAAATGTTCTATTTGAAGGTTGTTCAAAGAAAAGGAAAAAAATTCAAGTTGAAAAAGAAAAAAAAAAGAATGAGTTCATAGTTTGTTTTTCACTCAAGTTCTACATTATCATACTTTTATGAGTGATTATTGTGAGTAATGGGATTGTTTATGATGATTAGAGTTGTATTTGGTGGTTTTTGTTGGAGTTGGTTATGTTGATGGAGATATATGATCATCGTTATTTTGATCATGGGTTTATTAGGTTTTGGCTCCCTTAATGCATAGCTTTTCTCTCACATAATCCCAAATTTATCCTATCTTCACCCTAGCCTTACATTATAAGCTTTAAAGACCTTCCGACCTTGTGCATAGAAGTTATGTAAATGTGAAAGTGTTGGTTGTCAATGCAAGTTATGACTTGGCATATTTCGAGTCGACTAGTAGGATGAGCGTTCAATGTTTTTATACACACGAGAGTGTGAGTTGGGAGGGCATTGTTCACATTAAAGGGGTTGGTTGGAGAGCGATCGAGTACATCTTTTACTCGCCACATAAATGAGAGTTGAGTGTGTGAGCACTAGTCTTGAATTCTATATGCTCTTGTGGTTTGCTCTACTTGACAATTATTAGGGAGGAAGGGTGATTAGATGAATAAGATTGATTGATGTTGAAGTATGTTCATTAGATTTGCCTTGAATCGTTGGTTTTTGATTTGATGATTGGGAAGAAGTATGTTTTATATGTTCATTGATGAGCTCTTTGCTTAGGGACAAGCAAAGGTTTGGCTTGGGGGAGTTTGATATGTCCATTTTATATAGTGTTTTACCCCCGTCCCTTGGTCGTTATCAGTAGTGTTTTTGGCTCTTTCGGGCCATTTTTATTACTAATTTGTGTGTTCTAAAGTTTTCGTAATTTTAGTTGTATTTTACAGGAAATTGCACTCTTGGAGCATTTTCCCGGGCTTTATGGATCAACTACGGAAGCTAGAAGGACGCGACCACTTTTGGAGCCCAGGATCAGTGAGTGCCGGTGATTAAGGGCTCGGTAATTGGGATCCTGAGGCATTTGGACCAAGTATTCGAGACCCGAGAGGAAATTCGGATTGAGCCGAGAAATCTAGCCCAATCGAAGTCCAAGCCTCAAGGGGAGCAAAGACCCGATCGGGCAACCTCTAGCCCGATCAGGCGCGGTAAACCATAGTGCTGTGCATGCTAAGGCGCGCCCGATCGTGTGAGCATCTAGCACGATCAGACGATGCTGCTTGGGAAGAACGCGATGAAAAAGGCGCGCCCGATCGGGCGGCCCTTCGCCCGATCGGGCGCGCGTTTTTAGAAGACCTGATGATGTTTAGTTTTAATTCTTGTTTTAGAAAACGTTTAAATTTTGTACGGAATTTTTAGATGATCTTCTTTCTTAGACTTTCTCTCTCTACTTAGGATCTTTTCTCTCTCTTAACTCTTCTCTCAACTCTTGTTCTTGATTATTTCCATTAATACAGATTAGTTTGGTAACGATTTCTCTTCTCTTAATCTTATTTCCTTCCATGATGACTTATTTTATTGCTTTGATTTGTTTAGTTTTTTATATGAGTGAGTAGTTCTATTTCTAGGGTTTATGGGGATCCATAATTAATATGAAGGGGTAATTTATAGTTGTTGATTATCAATGCTAGATTAATTTCCTATTGATTGATTTAATGCTGTGTGACTAGATTTGCGCAGATCTTTTATGCACGAGTTTGACAATATTGATTCAAGATTCGAGAGATGAGAATTGATGTTTAGGTCTATTTTCAATAGGCAGGTTAATTTATAAATGGTTAAGTCGAGATTTGAGAGATGAGATTTAATACCGGTAGATTATTTCTGTGATTGTAATACGTAGCGAAAGCCCTTTACAATCTGGTTAATTGATGAATTGATGATTGACTATTATTGATTATTGATATTGCATGATAATTTCTTATTGAATTGTTTGAACGCTTTACAATTGCGGCTTGTAAAAGTATAGCAATATTGTATTGATGAATCGAGCAGATGTTAATTTGATATTAAAGGGTATTTTCAATAAGAACTTAGATCTAGTAAATTGCGAGAGCTTGTTAGATTTATGTTGATTAATAAATTGCGAGAGTCTGTTAATCATGTTATTTATGCAATGTCAATGATTGATTACTATGTTTTACCCTGGAGTATTATTTATTGGTGAACCTATGCCCTAGATCCTTTTGTATATTGTTTTCTCTCTATTCCTATTCTTTGTAGTTTAGTTTCATACTCAAATATAAATATTGGTTACTTAGATAATTTAGATTATAATAATTAATTAGGAGTAAAAAGACTTGTTTCCCTGTGGAGATCGACCCTACTTCCCTATCTACTTTAGTTAGAGGATTTAGGTATTTACTTTTGATTAGGGGATACGACTTTACCCTGTCAAGTGCGGAGGAAGTTACCTAGGCTCAGATCAACCCGGAGAAGCGAGTTCCCTGCAGCAGGTCGCTAGCCTCAGAACGGGGACCCAGCCCGGAGAGAGACAAGCGAGTGCGAATCCAGGTTGTTCCAGATGATTCCCCATTTTGCCGGGAGATTCTAGAGGAACCAATGGAGAAAGTAAAAATGCCGAGCTGCAGATACAATGGGTTCACAACACCCAATAGTCACATATCAGCTTTTGAGAACCACATGGCACTCTATACCATGACGGACTCAGTTTGGTGTAAAGCGTTCCCTCCAACCCTGGAAGGGCTGGAAGCGGAGTGGTATGTAGCCATTCCCAAATGTTCCGTATACTCGTATAATTAACTGAAGAGAATGTTCATGGAGCATTTCATAACCTTGGTAGATCGAACTAAGATGACAACTGAGCTGATGTCGTTAGTTCAGGGGAAGGACGATCCCCTGTGGGAGTTCATCACCAGATTTAACAAGGAAGCAACAACCATCCCTAATATGAGTCAGGAGGTAGCATTACTTAAAATGCAGAGCGTTTTATTACCAGGCTCACCATTCAGAGCGTATATGGGGCGTAAGAGCCTTAAAACATTAGCTGAAGCGCTAGGTAAAGCGCATGAGTTGATCAAAGCAGATGAAACTGATAGAGCAATGCTGAGTAGGAAGGCACCAGGTGACTCAGTTAAGCGGGAAGAGGTTACCCGGGCTGAGAACACACCCAGGGCTGACCAGACGAGCAAGGCTGAGCAAATTCATAGAGAAGCGGATAGAGCAGTGGGGGTGAGAAGGTCAGACCCAAAGAGAGGGGCAAGGTATGGAAGGTTCGATCAATATACCCCACTAACCCACTCAAGGTCTCATATCTTCAGCGTGAATAAAGCTGGTGATAAGTGGCAGAGACCCCCAAGGATGGTCAATAGGAATCGTGATACCAGCAAGTGGTGTGACTTTCATAGAGACCATGGCCACACCACCAATGAATGCACACACCTGAAAGATAACATAGATGATTTAGTCAGGAGAGGGTACCTGAGTCAGTTTAAGCAGCGCGATGACACTCCTAGAAGAAGGGACGAGGATAGAACAGGTTGCGCTGACCGCTGAGGAGGTCATAGGGGCCCCGTTGGGGACAGGGACAGAGATAGTAAGCTAAAAGGCAGAGTATATGTGATCAGTGGAGGACCGGTGCATGGAGGAACAGTGAACAAAGCACGGGCCGACCTGCGGGCAATGATACATAAGATAAACTACAATGAGAAGCGCAGATGGCCACCCCTTCCCCCGCAGCCACGAGCCACGTTTAACGAGTATGACCAAGAAGGCATAACTTACCCTAATGATGATCCTCTGGTGGTGACAATGAGAATTACAAACTGGGAGGTGGACAGGATATTGATAGATGGAGGCAGCTCAGCCAACATCATATACATCAGCGCGTTCAACGAGTTAAAGTTGTAAAAAAAGGATCTGAAAAGGGTGAGTTATGAAGTCACCGGATTCAATGGATCAGGGCTGACCCCGAAAGGTATAATGAGCTTTCAGTTCGAGTGGGGGAAAGGTAAAAAAGACGTGATGTTCGAGCAGAATTCCTCGTGATAAACTCCCCTTTTCCCTATAACGTGATCATGGGTAGACCGCTCATCCACAAGATAGGCGGAGTGGTATCCACCTACCACCTTGACATGGCCTACACGACTAATGAGGGACGGTCAGAAAAGCTTATGGGAAGCTAGAAGACATCTCAACAATGTTACATAACTGCCTTAAAGCAGCCTGCAAAGACCAGATATCAGTTAACCTCAGAACAAAGGTCCACTGAGCAGACTAAGAGAAAGTCAAGAAAAAGGAAGCGCGAAGAATATCACAGGGAGAAAGATAAACAGAAGTTAGCAATGGAAAACTTTGAGCATGCAAAGGAAGATATGGCTAGACCAATTCCTAGTGGAGAGCATGTCACAGTTGAGCTCACAGAAGGTGACCCCTCGAGAACGGTAAAAATCGGGAAAGACATCGATCTTGGAGTATGGGTACACCTCATAGAGCTGCTGAGAAGGAACAAGGATATTTTTGCATTCTCTGCAGATGAGATGCCTGGAATTGACCCTGCAGACCACAGGCTGAATGTGAAGGAGGATATTAAGCCGGTCAGGCAGAAAAAACGAAGCTTCTCCACAGAGAAAAATCAAGCAATCCAGGAGGAAGTGGAGAAACTCTTGGAGGCAGGATTCATCGAGCCTTGCGATTACCCAGAGTGGTTAGCCAACGTGGTCATGGTGAAGAAAGAAAATGGCCAGTGGAGAATGTGTGTTGATTTCACAGATCTCAACAAGGCATGCCCAAAAGACTGCTACCTGCTGCCGCGGATTGACCAATTGGTAGACTCAACCAGTGGGCACGCCTTGCTAAGCTTCATGGATTCCTTCTCAGGGTTCCATCAGATCAGCCTGCATGAACCAGATCGGCAGAATACCGCATTCATCACCGAAGGGGGAGTGTACAATTACATAGCTATGTCCTTCGGGCTAAAGAATGCGGGGGCAACCTTTTTGAAGACAATGGATAGAGTGTTCCTACACCAGAAGGGTAGAAATGTTGAAGTGTACGTTGACGACTCAATTGTGAAGAGTGTCACGTAAGCAGAGCATATCATGGAGCTGGAAGAAACATTTGCCACCCTGAACAAGTACAAAATCAAACTCAACCCAAAGAAATGTGTCTTCGGAGTGAGCTCGGGAAAATTCTTTGGTTTCCTGATCAGTGAGAGAGGAATAGACGCAAATCCGGAAAAGATCGAAGCAGTCCTAAGCCTGCCTGAGCCTAAGTGCATTAAAGACATCATGCAGTTGACAGGCAGAATGGCCGCGCTGACTAGGTTCATTAGCAAGTCAGCAGACAAGGCCTTACCGTTCTACCAGCTACTGAAGAGAAATAGAGAATTTAAGTGGGGAGCTGCAGAAAAAGAAGTTTTTGAGGGTATTAAGGAGCATCTGACTAATGATCTGCCCGGAGTTAAGGGAAAAGTTATATCTGTATATTTCTGCATCAATTAAGACAATCGCAGCCGTGCTACTGGTAGAAAGACAAAAACAACAAAGGCCAATATACTTCGTGAGCCACATATTGACCGAGGTAGAGCAAAGGTACCCATTGGTAGAGAAACTGGCCTTCGCAGTGGTAACAACAGCAAGGAAGCTGAAACCATATTTTGATGCACACGTAATACAAATCCTCACAAATCACCCGCTGGAAAAAGCGTTACAGAAAATGGATTCATCAGGCAGACTCTTAAAATGGGCCATCGAGCTTTTTGAGTACGAGTTTGAGGTCAAACATAGGGCAGCCATCAAGGCCTAAGCCCTAACAGATTTCATCGTGGAAGCCTCTTATGAGGAGAAAGAAGATGACATTGGGATCTAGAAGGTAGAAGTAGATGGATCCTCAGCCCAAACGGGGAGTAGAGCAGGAGTCATAATGGCATCTCCAGAGGGAAATGTATTTGAGTACGCCATAAAGTTCAAGTTCAAAGCATCAAACAATGAGGTAGAGTACGAGGCAGCACTGGCAGGCCTGCGTATGAGTATCGCAGCCGTTGCCCAAAAAGTCCATATGCAAACTGACTCTCAACTTGTCGTGTGATACCCGTATATTTTGGGACTTTATTGATATATATAACTTAACTATTTTAATCTAATGTGTATTTTCTGATTTGGTCATAAAAAGTATTTAAACTTAATTTTATTTATAATAGGTTCCTTGTTACGAAACCATATAAATACTGATTTTTACTAACCCTAAATTTATTGTTTAAATAAAGTAATTGCAGTCTTGCAATTTTTCTCTCTTTGTTCGGCTTTTTCTTGATGTATTGTGTAGCCCCATGAATGTCTTGTCATCAATCATTATCAAAACTTTGATTAATTTTCTTGTATGCTTTTCATGAGATCAAGTCACTAGATCTCTATTTTTGCATCAAAGATTCAAACCCAATGCCTTGACTTGTCCGTTTTTAACCATCAAATTAACATCTGCAACTCCTCGTATCAGTCATATATATATATATATGAGCGAATCAAGTTTATCTTGCACCCTTGATCATTATCGACATCTTTATTCCGTCCCCAATTTGTGTAGTCACTTTCATGGAACCCTTTGTTCTTACTTCACTATTGGATTACTCTTCGTTCGGAAGGTAATCAGACTATCAACCCTTAATTAGATCGTTTGTTTATAATTTGATTGTATTATTTATTTTATGTAATCACACTACTTTAATAAATTTTTTTGATTATAAATTTTAGTATTAATTGTACTCCGTATTGTTATGTATAAATTTTATAATTTGTGAATTATATATGATCATGATTTATATATATACATGATCAGTGTGTGGTATAATATGATTCTAATTGCCGTAATATTTGTGTGGTATTGATTGATTATGTTTTATTTCTAGGGTTTTTAATGTTGTTGTTATAGGGAGTATTGTTTTATTGAGGTTTTAGGGTTATTAATGCAGATTATTATTTTTGGGTTGAGATATCATTATATTTGGGTTATTAGTATGTGTTTTAAGAGTTGAGATATTCTGAATCGAATTGTTATGTTATTTGGGAACATGTGCCAATATTGAGATATTGTAAATTAATTTGTGAATGGTTATTTGATCAATGTGTGAGATCCAAAGGTTGAGAATTATTATTTTGTTATTGGTTTGAGGCTCGGCGTTATAGACCTTAGTCCTTGGCATGTTGGTAAGGAGATGATAATCATGAGTTAAGAATGAGGTACAATCTTTAATTATTTTTCTATGGTCCCCTACAGTGGGAATTGGCCCGTATGTGGTCTGGTTCAAGGTGTATTCTGGTTATTGGGAGTATTCAAGTTTTTAAACTTGTTGGTTTTATTCGAATTACCCATGTCCAAGGCTAGGTATAAAACAAAGAGCATGTCACACTTATGGGTTATATGAGTTAATTGAGTAAAAGTTCGTATTATTATTCGAGGTTGAATCGATGAAGGTTATTTTCAGAATACAATGTGTAATGTAGTTTCGAACTACATTGTTTAACTTAGCTAGTAATTTTAAATATTATATTATTCTTTGTATTATGATATGTGGTGATTACTCAGCTTTTCGTTGACGTGTGTTATAATAACGAGTTCGTAAAGTTGCTATAACGAGTTCGTAAAGTTGTAAATTAACTCATCGATTAATATGCTATAACGAGTTCGTAAAGTTGCGATATGTAAAGTAACTCATCGATTAGTATGTTATAACGAGTTCGTAAAGTTGTAAATAGCTCACCTAGATTTATTGGGATTTGTAAGCCTTAACACTTGACAGGTTGTTGAGTGTGGCAGTAATACCTCCGATTTAGGCGTATGCTTCCGCAATTTTATTTAAAGGTTGTTTATTTTTCCTTTAATTCTTATTTATTTTCAATTAGTAAATCGGGGGTGTTACATGTCGCCAGCCAATTGTAGGGGGCGTATGAGATTAGGGAAGCCACCATGTTGAAATATGTAACTGAAGTAAAGGAACTGGCAGCTTAGCTAGTTCATTTCCAGATAGACTTGGTCCCCAGAGCAGGAAACTCCCAGGCTAACGCTTTGCCAAAGTTAGCCAGTTCTACCCTACAGAGCCTCACGAGGATGGTAATGGTAGAAGTCCTAGATGAAAGCAGTATCGCTGAAAAAGAGCAAGTGAACTGCATCGGGCAGCAGCGAGCTTGGTACACAGACATTCTGGCATACAAAGTTCACGGCTCGTTGCCAGATGATGAGGTGCAAGCCAGGAAGGTTAAGAAGGATGCCAACTGGTACGTGGTAATTAACGGGGAGCTTAACAAGAAGGGCTTCTCGAAACCACTACTGAGGTGTATCCCAGAGTGGGAGCAAGAGAGGATCATGGAAGAAGCACACTCAGGGATATGTGCCAACCACATTGGTGGATAGGCATTGGGAGTAGAAGTCCTCAGAAGAGGTGCATACTGGCCAACTCTAACGCAGGATGCGCTGGCATATGTCAAATAGTGCGACAAGTGTTAAAAATATTCCCTAGTAATAAACCAACCAGCAAATGATCTGACTCCAATCCTCAGCCC